GCCTATCCCAGCTGTCATAGGACAAGAGGCGGGGTACACCCTGGACAGGTCACCAATCTGTCACAGAGCTAACACATAGAGACACAGCCAACCATCCGCACTCACATTCACACCTATGGGCAATTTAGATTTTTCACTTAACTAACTGCATGTCTTTGGTCAGTTTTTTCTCATTCTATATTCAACCATTTGTTACTGATTTGCTTTCTCTAAACATTGCACCTCGGTGGCTTTCAAACCCCAAAACATGCTGCGCCAAAATTGGTCCACCCCAAGGAAATGGTTCCCCGACACAAACAGAGTAACATAGTGTACGCTGTTAAGTGCAGGAGGATTGCCAGGATTTATACATCGGGGAAAATAAACAACCTCTGGTGAAGCAACACAGAAGAGCTACCTCGTCAGGCCAGGACTCTGCAGTCTATTTACCCCTTAGGCCCCCTCCTCTGAATCGAGGAAGGGGTCCTAAGGGGTACATCTGTCACCATCTTGCAATGATGTGATTGCAGTCATTCCCCAACTCTCTGTCAATGGTACTCGTGGCCATTGATCAGTTGTCTTTGGTCAGTGGTTGTTGATCAATGGTCATGAGAATTTGCATCAATCTACACCAAATTCCTTTAGAAAACATACAAAAAAGAGTTAACAGAATACAAGCACTGAGACCCCCACTCTGCATCCATTGGCCTCTTCTTGTCTTACATTTGCAGATAAACATGTAAACATAAACACATCTACTGCAAACCTACTTCTAAGTAATGACAATTATGAGCTTTTATTAAAGGTACAAGCATCAGCATCAGCAACCCCCAACTGTAGCTTCCTGACTCTTTTATGACAGCAGACCCCCAGTGTCCATAAATTCCTTTCTCTCTACACAATTACACACATTCTCAGACCTACAGCTAAGCCCAACTGAAACACAGACAAATCCTTCCCTATTCCTCTGATGTACTACTGGACCTTCTCATTTAAACAAATTTAACACATTATATTGTAATAATTGTTTTCTTGTACTCACATGAGACACCTGTTGGAAGTGAACCAGATATTAATTTGCACTAAGTGGCAGGACTGCTTTCTCATCGTTAATGTTATTATCGTCATTTCTCATTATTACACACAATTTATGGAAATTTATCGTTAAATGTCTTTGCATGTGTGGATTGGATGGGTTGTTACCTACATCTGGTGTCAGTAGCAACTTTAGAAATATATTTACTGAAGAAATTGTTGTACTTATTTTTACTTATTTTACCTGCTGGTAATCCTCTGTTATTAATGATTTCATGTATTGCAAACCATATTTTTGTTTATTCTTATTGAATTGGTGTTTTCAGAATGGATCTCAGAAATAAAACTGATGAGACAACTGATTAAGCAAAACATGTTAACAATTGTGTCAGATTTCATAAAATAAACAGATCATCAGTTTTTCATTTTAACCC